CGCTGCCCGGCGGCTCGCTCCCTGTCACGGCGCGTCCCCCCGGCTCCGCGCGCAGCGCTGGAGGACGGCGCTGGGCCAGTGGGGCGGGGGAAGTAGGAGGAGGAGGAGGTGCCGAGTTAAGATGGCGGCCGCGCAGGCGCGCGGGGCCCGCAGACATAAAGCCCGTCTGGAGACGGCGGGTGGCGGAAAGGGCCGAGAGCTGACGAAGCCGCGCCAGCCAATCCGGATCGGGGGGTGGGGCTTCGCGGCGGCCATTAGCGGAGTGGCCCCACAGCTCGGCGCGCCCCTGCAGTGGGGGGTGGTGTTTGCTTCTCTCTCACGCTTGCAGCAGGGTTGCGCCTCGGGCGCCCTTTTGCCTCCTGTTGCAGATGCGGGTTCTCTTCTGTTTTTTATTTATTTATTTATTTAATTTTTTTTTTTTATAAAGCTATTTTTTGCCGCCCCCGGCCAGGGAGAAGAAACTTGAGCCGGGAGCCAGGGCTGTATTTTTCCACCCGCGCGTGCCTCTTTTGTGCAGCCGCTTGCCGTTGCCATGTGGCTGCTCGCTGCACTGTCCCCAGGGCGGGCTGGGGGAGGGGGGAGTCCAGCCTTCATTGGCTCGGGGAGAGCCGGGCGCTGCAGCGAGGGGAGATGTTTCTAGAGTGATTCCTGCTTCCAGGAGGGGGGCTGGGGACAGAGTTTCTGAAGTCCAGCCCAGGACCCTCACCCACTTCCATGCACCCGATGTGAATGAAGCATAAGCAGGTGGGGAAACCAACTCTGAGAGGATTACAGAACAAACAAACAAAAAAAAAAAACCCCGGAGTTTTTGTAATTTAGTTGTTCCCCCGTTACCAGTATGCTGTTAGTGCAAGATCAACTCGTTCAGAGTCTGGATGGTAAAAATCAGTGCCTAGGCTACAGAGCTGATACAGTTTGATGATTTGTTGCTTTAGACACAGCCCAGGTGGTAACGGTCCTTCCCTCTGTGCTGTGGGCTGCAGAGTAGATAGGGTTTGATGTGAAGGATGACATGATCAGCTGCTATTCAGTTTCATAGGTTTTACCTGTATTGTAGACAAGTTTCATAGACATTAGGGCTGGAAGGGACTAATAAAAGTTAGTCTAATAAAAGATACTGCAGCTACCTGAAGAACCTCAGCTGCTCTAGACACTCAAAGCTGCTTTTCACGGTAGATATACTTTAAAAAAAAAAAAAGAACAACATGGACATGCAGCTATTTTCAAATGGTTTAAGTCCATTGTATTAAAATACTGTACGTGTCAATTCTTCTCGAAACAAGTTATACCTGTAAAAACTCAGCAGAGCAATAACTTTGCATCTTACCAGTGATGCAATTAAAAAGATGTCTAAACTATGAAGAGAAATCATTTTTTTATTTTGCGTGGTGGATACAGCTAGCAACCTACAGAGAAGGAAAGCTCTCCATATTCTTCTATGAACAGAAAGCTGAAGATGAGCGCACCCAACTATGTGCCCACAATGACTTTGGTCTACATTTACACAAGGACTCTCTGGTGCTTAAGCGTCACTTCTAGTGTCAAAGGACAAATGGTTAGATCCTCAAAATTCTTATTCAGCTACCATGTAACCCTCGCAGCACCTGTAGCCCCTAGAAGCCTAATACTTTGCCAGTAAAGTTTCCTAAGTACCCACAGTGCCAACCAGCTGGGACCCTCAGATTTCACAATCTATACATTGCCCTGCCTATGGAACTTGATCTAGTAAGTAGATCAACCCTACCAAACTGGCCTCTGCACAAAACGGACAGAGGAAGAAGTTCCTCCCTTTTACCCAGTAGCCCAGTGACATATGGGAAACAAGTTTAAAAGTATCCTGTACTAGACAGGATTTGAAGCCATATCTTTTGCTTCCCAGGAGAGAACCCTAGCCACCAGGTTAGAAAATATTCTGAAATGGCATGAGGGAAAGCCCAATCCTTGCTGTTGAAGCTGTTCCATACTGCGTGGAATAATTAAGTATTAATTCATCCAGGTGATAGTGTGAGAGAAATATTCTCTATTGCAGTGGTTAGAGTGCTCACCAGGGATGAGAAGGAACTTAGGCATAATCTCTGTTCCACTGAATATTTAAGCATGCAAAATAAGTAGCTTCAACAGGGGAGACCATCATTGAATGTAGAGGGCACTCTTGTAGGATATTTAGGTTCAAGACCTACCAGGCAGAGGAAGGATTTGTCTCCCATACCTTTGATAAGCTATTGTTGTAAAAGGAGAAATGACACCACTTTCTCTTCCACCTATGTTTTGTGAGAAGGAGCTGGTTTATGTGCATACTTTAGAAGAGGATTCATAATCGTGAATCCCAAGTGGAGGGAACTCCCCCCCAATCCTGGAGTTAACTAAGTACCTAAAAAGGGGGGCACTTGCTCCCCATCTGTCTGTCACCTTTACTTTTCCTACCATCTTGCTCTATGTGAAGATGACATGATCTGCTGCTTTATACACAGCCTGGATGGTAAAGATATTTCCCTCCATGCTGTAGGCTACAGAGATCCCTGTTTGGCAGGAAGGCTTTGTGGATCTCACTCTGATGCATCTAAGGAATGTAGGCAATCAAGTGAGGACAGTGGATTCTACTAGATGACACAGCCCATACAAGCTGGGCACTTGATCACATTGTAGTACCTATGTTCATTCTTGCACCTCGTCTTTTGTCTATATATGGAAAATTGCATTAGGTTAGAAAATAAATTTAAGTAGCATCATGTTAAATTAGGTTTTATCTTTATTGTAGACAACACAGTTGAATTTTAAAACTATTAATAGTAGGGAACCATGGATCCTCTGGATCATGGTGTCCGCATAAGAGGTCTAGTTAGGTGCCTGATGAATCCATTTGTACGGAGTCCTGCGACCATCACTAAGACTTTCGACGCACATGTCTAGGCAAGAGTATGGAGGAGTGGAGGCTGCCCTAGGCCTGCCATCCCCTCTTTAGACCACTGAGACAGAGTCCAAAGGCCAAACTGAGTCCAGACATTCAGTGCCTCGATGACTAGCTTTTGCCAGAGACCAACAGATAAGAACTGCTGCTGACTGCCTAACACCTCACTGAGGGCACACTTCTGTCAGGGTGATATGCCTTAGCCTTTCTCCCACCAAGGAGTGCCCACAAGGCAGTGGGGGCTAGGGTTTTGAGGTGACTTATACTTGCCTTACTCTGGAGGTTGCAGCATTGTGGTATTTTATAGGAACTACCCCAGCATGAGTAGCCCCACCACATTGCCACCAGACCTCCAGTTGGATGCAGCTTATGGTCATATCCAGTACATATTTAATATACACATTTACAAACACAAGCACTTCCCAGTATAGACCAGGCCTGCATAAGGAAAAAATATGTTAAGACCTAACATTTAAGCCTGCATTAGACTCGTCACAGAAAGACAATCTGCATAGAACTCTGCTGATTACAGCAAAGCTTCACAAAAAGTGCAGGATCTGTCCACAGGCAGCTTATTGTAGGATAGGGGGATTATACATGTGTTTGCTTATAACAGCACTGCTCACATGCCAAAATTTAAATATGGGCATAAATGTTTGCAGCTATGGTTGCAAGCCAGCCCATCATAAATTCCTGTTCTGAGTGCTTATATCTTTCTCAAATATTCTCCAATGGGCTCAGATTTTCCATTAGTCTGAGCTCAAAGCCAATTTTTCTGAATGTTTGACTAGAATCCAACTATTCAGTTTTCGGATATATGATCAGTGAGGAGCAGAACATTTTTCCCAACTTTAAAAGTAATAAAACATTTAACTGTACATGAATAACTGGAACATGACTGAAGTTCCAGTTTTGTATGTAAGTACTGCTACTCAATGAGAAATTGGGTGTTTGAAAAAAAACACTTTAAAATACTGAAGTTATAACTGCTTAAATATTTATTTTTTGCCTATACAGTTAGACACCCTATCTGTCATTTTATATTTTAGCAGGTAGTTTTGCTACTGCAAATCAGAAACTGAAAGAAAATAAAAGTTTAAATATCAGTGTTAATACATCCATACCAAGTTAAATGTCTGCTTGAATCTAAGGGCCAATCAAGTTAGTGTGATCAAGGCACACCTGCTTCTGAAGGCAAAGGCATGCAAAGGAGTGATATGGGTAGCATTATATCTGTCTACTTTTAACTCCACAGCTAGAATATCTAGGCACCCATTTACAGCTAGGTCAACCAAGGGAGGTGGTGTTGTCCCCTTCTTTGGAAATATTCAAAAGGAGATTGGACAGTGCTCTTTTCTGCCCAGAGCAGGGGGTCAGACTTGAAGGGACCTAATAGGTCCCTTCTGACCCTAATAACTATGAAACTGCCTTCAGCATGAGTCCAGCATGGGGCTAACATTGGCATCTGAAGCAATAGCAAGATACCTTAACCCAGGGTCCCAATATAATGCACAAAGGGTGCAGACAGAACTTATGATTTTCGCAGTCAGCCCTCTGAAAGTGCTCTACAGCCATGCTGTGATACAGTGCATGGCTGCAGAGCTCTTTTAAAGTGGCCAATCATGCAACATATTAACCATCACCAAATGAGGTATTAAATGAAGGTGCTGCACTTTAGTGCATCTCAGGGCTGGGCTGATGCAGCCCAACCCCACCCCTGGGGCTGTCCACAGGAAGGGAGAGGGGAGGAGGAGCAAGCTACCAGCTGGGGTTTGCATGGCCTGAGCTGGAAGGTGGGGCAGGATTTGGATCAGAGCTCCCCCACACACTTCACAGGCCACCTAGACTGGGCCGGGCAAACCCCAGCCGGCAGCTAATTCCACCTCCCCTCTCCCTTCTTGCAGACAGCCCCAGAGCTGGGAGGGCTGGGGCTGGGGAAGAGAGGTGTCTCCTCCTTCAGGCAGAGTCTTCAGACTCCTACAGGTACACTTTATCCCCACTCCAGCGCAACCCAACAAGC